AACCCCGCCTCCCAGCCGCCTATCTGGTTGAATCGAAGGACACTTACAGTCGAGTCATTACAATGATCAAGTTTGTACTGCACAACATTGTCCATCTTCGGCGTCTGCATTTCGCATTTGCAATCACAAAAATGCGAGGGACTGACCTACTACTTTTATCGCTTGCATCATTTCAAGACGATTGGTACTTATGAAGGAAAGGAAACATAAAAACCCGAAGACATTTGCCTGGAGAGGTGCCTGCTCCTAGATCTCAGGATGAGAACGTCAAAGGCCGACGGTGGTGCGATGAACACATGGTCCCATGCAATGATGCAATTATACGGTTATTATACCTACTCGACCTATGTCTCAAGAGAACACTGGTTACGTAGGAGAATGTGGTTCATGCATTAACAAATGCGGCCAAAGGCTTTATACATTGGCACAATACATTAGCAAAAGCAGCCGTTTTACGTAACTATAGCAAAGCCGCTCCAATTGCCGCGACCACTGCCGGCACAATTGAGTTTGCCATTCTTCCCAGTTCTAAATTCGGGAAGTTATCAAAGGCTGAAGTTTCTTTGAACTTACTTTTTGGGGAATCCGTTGCTCCAGGTGCTGCCTCTTGCCCAGATGGTTGGGGACTCCCTTAATGTAAATTTGATTCAAGACAGGTTTTTGAGTGAAGAGCAGTGTTTCTAGGCTTCACCTTCTGCAGCTTCGTTTTTCTTTGGAGGGGCAGGCTCTCCTTCATTCCCGTCCGCTCCACTCCCCTCTCCACTCGTCTCCGTCCCTTCTTCCTTCGTCTCTTCTCCTAAAAGCAAAATTGACAAAATTGGACCTCTTAAGATGTGAATTTAGTGATACCCCATACAACTTCCAAGCACACAAGAAGGATCAGAATCGCTGCGATGTGAATAGCTTTCTGGAAATAGAAGTTGCAGCGTTTGACCGGAGGGTTAGCTGGGGTTACCAACTCGCATGGTGATGAAACACTCCGCAAGCACAACGATTGGTAAAAGTGA